GCCCAGCAAGTACTCCCAGGAAAAGAAGGGAAAAAAAACGGAAACTTTGGCCGGACAATCCTCCGCGTCTATCCTACTACGTGACACGACCACTCCTCCTCCCTCTGTCTCCCTCCTCCCTCCTCCGTCCCTCCTCTTTCCCTCCTCCTCCCTCACTCCCTCATCCCTCCCTCCTCCTCCCTCCTCACTCCTCCCTCCTCCCTCCATCCTTCCCTTCTTCCTTCCTGCAGCCTGACTCCCTCCTCTCTCCCTCGTCCCTCCTTTCTCCTCCCTCTTTTCCTCTCCCCTCTTTCCTTCCTCTTCCCTCCTCCCTCTTTCCTTATTTCCTCTCTCCTCCCTTCCTTCTCTATCCTCCCTCTTTCCCTCCCTCTTCCCTCCTCCCTCCTTCCTTCTCCCTCCACCCTCCCAAGCCTACCTCCGAGTACTGTAACCAAAGACGTGATCCCCCTGCCCCCCCCACCCCAACAGCACACCAACCCTGCCCTTCTCCTCCGAGAAACAAACACCTCCTCCTCCTCCTCCTCCTCCTCCTATATGACGAACATACTTACTTCCTCTCTCCCTATACGATCATGTATATAAGGTGGAGAGCAGTCGACGCCACGCTTACATGTGTGTAGATAGTTCTCCTTCAACTAGGACACAGCAGCTTGTTTTGGTATATACATGTAATGATTTTATACCGTTCATTATTTTATACCATTAATTTGGCAGCATTTTCCACAGGGCCCCTCGGTCTATGCTGTCAAAGGCTTTTTTTAAGTCCTCAAAGTTCAGAATAATTGGGACATTCCATTCTTTGTTTTGTTCTACCATATTTCTCAGAACAATCAGTTGCTCTGTAAATGATCTCTCTGTTCGAAAACCCTCCTGTTCCTCTCTTAGTCTCTCATCTATTTGACGAAAGAGTCCGTTAAATGAGGGCGTCATTTTGGAGTCAACCACACAAAAATCAACGCCATTTCGCAATGTCACGTAATGGACATGTATTTTTAAAAGCTTTTAAAAACATAATTAAAAGAAGCTTTGGCATGAAATATTTTGAGAGGATGGATAAAAATGGTTGATGAGTTGATATCCTTACGAGTCTTAAGTTTCCAAAAATTAAAATGTTTCACTATTTTCCTAATTTTCTCTGAATAAGCCTGTGCGACATGTGGACCCTTTTTCCAGTCATGCACACATTTTCCTCCTCCTCCTCGTCTGAAAAGATCTAGAACCTACTTACCTTTTCCCCTCCACAGATGAACATTGGAAAAACATCCGCACCACCGTCAGCCCAACGTTCAACACGGTCCGGCTAAGGCGGATGTACGGACACATTGAGAGCAACACCAGACGTCTGTTGGATCACTTGAAGAAGAAACAGGAGAGAAACGAGCCGGTGGAGCTGAAGGAGGTCCTGTCTCTCTTCACCATGGATGTCATCGCCAGCACGGGCTTCGGGGTGCACACCAACTCTCTCGAGGACCCGAATAACCAGTTCATCAAAGAATCCGAGAGAATCGTGGCCAGCATAGGGCGAATCTTTTTGATCAGCACTTTCTTAGGTTTCCTCAAGCCTGTCCTGACATTTTTTGGAATAGCGAGCATGCCTCGGGTGTCTCTGGACTTTTTCTCTCGTTTCGTCGACGTGGTCATTCAGGAGAGGAAGCACGAGGGCTCTGGGGCGGGTTCGAAGAGGCACGACTTTCTCCAGCTGATGATGGAGGCGGGAGAAGACAAGCCGGGACAGGAAAACGACAACAGGACAGAGGAAGAGGCAACAGCGCTCAACAATCGCAGCAGGAGCAAGCCAGGGCTCAGCCCAGGCGACATGAAGGTAAAGATAAGATAACTTCCTCAGGTGTCAGGTCTAGAGAAGACATTGACAATCATGGTGGTACCCCATTCCTTCCTGTTGTCTCTCTTCTTGATCAGCTCGGTTTTTGTCGTTCTGTTGTTAGTTGCAAAGTTGTTCAGGCCATCAGTGTATGTTCTTTGTCTTTTTACCCTCTTCTTTCCCTCTATCTTTCCACACAGCAGCAGTTTCTCTAGTTCATTTGATCTATTTACGTGGTCAAAGATTCCCAATTGCCTTTTTCTGATGGTTCTGATTATAGATCTTTCACAACCTGTCATTTGGAGCATTTCTCTATTTGTTTTCCTCTGTGTCCATGAGATCCTATATGTCCTCCCCAAGGCGTCATAGCTTGGTAAGAACTGAGTCACGACACAGTGGAAGAGACACAAGTGAGATCGGCACGAGATGAACAATATCAACAGCTGCTGCCTCCAGGACTGTGTCCAATATTCCTGGTTTGGTATCGTTCTCTTTTACAATCTTGACAATCTAAACTAAAAAGCGTTGCTCTGCAAGGGCTGATATGTTTTATTTCCTTATGTAAATAGTTACGCCCCCATCCCGCCAAAGAGAAAATCTACTTGAATTAGGAGACGGGTATCTCCTGGGCCTGTCAGGGTCAACCCGGACTTAGAGATATACATCTTCACCATTGCCTTTCTCACCCTGCACCAGGGTATAGGCCACGGACAAACACCTTCCACCTTTCTCTATCCTGGGCTAGCCTCTTGGTGTTATTTCATGTCTTCCCACTTTTCTGTACATCGATTTCTGTGATTCTTCTCCAGGTTCCCCGAGGTCTTCCCCTTGATCTCTTGTCCTGTGGGTTCCAGTCCAAAACTTTCTTTGTTATGCAGCTGCGTGACTTCCTGAGAGT